TGGAACCGACCTTCGAATCTCTTCACCCAACACTTCTACTCGAAATGGAAGTAAGCTCAACCATCTCATTTGGCTCTGTCATTCTAAATATATCTGGTCTCATCCCTTTTTGTTACGCCAATGCCCACTTCTCTCCAGGCGAGTCTTATTGCCCATCGGCATACATGCGCTGCTAGTTCGATCCAGCCCGGATTCACGCGCCTCCTGATCGACGACTCGTTCTCGTTGACTGTTGATCCAACTCGCTGGGCTACTGTTGACATGTTGCGCCGGGTTTCAGATACTGCCATCTGTGGCCAGACTGGCAGCAGTTCGGGTCAGTCAACGTGTACGGAAACATTGACCTCTGTCGCTGCGGCAACTGGCACCTACATCGTGACTCCTCGCATCCGCTTCAACGCCAGTTCTCCAGTGGCCTGTTGGCGCGAGCCGTCTCCTCGGCTTCCTCTGGAAGAGTCGGGCGAATCTGTAGAGTCTTGGGCGGCAATATCGAATCTCAATTCGGCGTCTCATACTCCTGGCAAGCATAGCACCGAGGTAGAGGTTTGTCTTACTCCCGTGCCGGTTTGCACTCGTGTTCGGCGGACCGTCGGCGCTGGCGACAACATCTCGGCCGGTGCTCTTCGGGTGCAGTCAGTGTCCAGGGATACTAGACGATGATCATCTTAGCTCGTGCCCAATTTTGCATGTTGAATTGACTCATTTTAAATGTACAGAACTTTGTGATGATGTACTCTTGCCATTGTAGGTTCTACGACTATTAGTGACGAAGGGGCGTTTAGTTTTGCGTTGATTAAACGATTTAAGGTGGACATTATGGATATGCCTATTGCCTTTTATAATGCTGGTGTCTTTCAATACTACTATAGCATCCAACGCGCTTCCTATTACGGTGAAGACGACAGTGTTTTCTATTAAGAGAAAAATATTAATCATACATTATCGAAAGTTATTGTGAATGCTATAGTCATCCAAATGGAAGTAAGTGCGTTTGGACGAGTACTTATCGGCTCTATCGAAATGTTGGAAGAAGTCCAGCCTTGTTTTGTGTCTCTTAGCTGTATCTGTTCCATCGGGCATTCACAATGCACAGTTGTAAGCACGCTTTTAACTGTATCTAACTCGTGGCAAGCCCTATGGATTTTTCTGTTTTGTTCTCAGGCGAAAGCAGTTGCCGATTCTGCAGTAACTTACAACATTAAATACATAATCAGTACAAAGGATGCTCTGAGATGAAAATATCAAACTGCTATAACCTCTTGGTCCTTCAAATTTTATCAATTCATATTTCCCCTTCGGTCTGCTCACTTCTCGGCTGTCCTTCTGTAGTGAATGATCTCTAAACTCTTGTTTAAACAAATTGTTTGCATCCTGTAAAGGCATAATATTTGTACTCCAGATTCCCTTCCGCAGATTGAATGCTTGATTGCATTACAACTACTTTTTTATTCACGGTGAGAAGTCAGTTATCTTGTCGCAAGATCTACTATACACCTCTTGATGCCATTGCGGCATAAACATCAAGCTACGATCTTAATTTTTATTTTTT